GCCATCTAGTCCCTCTCCCTTCTCAGCTGCAGGTAAATGTACAGCCAAGGAGTTACTTAAAATGGGCTGAACAGAAAATTACGTTTATATGTGTAAAGAACAATCTCATCYCTAAGAGTATTCAAAAGATTTGGGGTGTTAGGCTTAAACACAGCCAATATTCCTGTTCTGAGAGAGGATTAAGTCAACAATGTGAAAATTAGAAAAATGAGGAAAACCAGGAACAGACTGAGGCACCCAACAGCAATTAGAGCAATTCTCCCGCTRCAGGGCGGCCAAAGCTAACTTTCTGAAAGCAGTTTTTGTTCCTTCACCCTAAYTTAACCAGTTCATGTTATTTAGCCAATATCAGAGTTTTAAAACTTGAAATACACAAGATGTATTTGATTACCAGCTCTCTGTGCAAGGACCACTAACAAACAACAGCAACTCAAAGTATAGCAAAGGTTTTCCAGCCTCCCTGGAGCAATCACGACTAGTGACACTATTACGTTTATCAGAGCTTGCCGAAGCAGCTTTCCTAGAGCAGGACTGTTAACCAGGCAGCACACGGGCTCCATGCAGCCGGCCAAAACAAGTTAACCCAGCCCAAGCTGCCCTCTGTGTTTCCCTTTGGCCTCCAGGGCCTCACCAGTCTGCCTGCTGTCACTCGACCGGAGGCAAGCAGGGACACAAAGGTGACATMCAGACGCCTCATCAGACACATCCTTCCCTCCCTGTGCCAGGGCTAGTCACAAAGAGGCCTTGGTTCATCTGCAGGTCTCACCTCAAACCATCCTTCTCAACTTCATTTTTTCCTGGATTGGGAAGCTGAATCAACTGCTCATTTTGCAACCACTCAGTCACCAGAGGAGAGGCAGCTGGGGCAGCACCCACGACGGGCAGGGAGAGCGGAGGCCGAGCTCAGGGAGAGCGGAGGCCGAGCTCAGGGAGAGCGGAGGCCGAGCTCAGCACTGCCACGCTGTGCTCGTCCTCAGATGGTTTCAGTGGACATACACTTAAGTCATGGAAAATACTTTGGGAAAGGAAATTAAGGAACACACTGCCAATCTGTAGGGGTCAGGCATTCATAATGGCACCCTGGCCATTTAGGTACAGAAATTTGGGCAAGATTATACAGAAATTCACCTGCTGTTCAGACCTGCTGTACACTGAACGCTGTTCCTTTCACATGGAAAAGTTGAACTCCTCTCTTTTAAAGTGTGCATTTCCTATTAGCTAATTTCCTAAGGAGGAAAGGATGGAAGCTGCAGGTCAACAACTGTCTGCACAGCTAATGTCAACAAGGGTCTAGTTCTTAGAGCCATAGGACACTTTTTAAGGGATCAAGCACTGCTAGCAAGGGACAGAATCTACTTGGTCAAGTGGAGCAAGAACATCTTTGTCAATAGACGTGTCAAAAGTGAAGCAAAAATGTCTCTATTGAAAGGCTTGTCCTGGGGAGAAGAGCTATAAAGCAGGAATGACAGGGGTAGGAGATGACGGCCCAAGCAAGCAAGGAAGCAGCAGACCAGGATGATGGCAGCAAAGGATTGTAAGCAAAGATCAGGATGACGAGGAGAGAAGAGATGTCTCAACCGGCCAACACAAGGTAAAGGTGACCCGCTCATGCCACCTCAAGGAACTGGTGTCTCCAGGCAGCTGCAGGGCTTTATCTCACTGGGAAGCGGTGGGATACCTCATATCCCAGCATGGACTGCTGCAGTGGAGGGGCACAGGCTCCTTAGGAAGGACAGGCCAGGAAGGTGTGGAAGGGTGAGCTGCCCTTCACGTGACACAGCATGTCCATTTGTCTGAAGACCTCCACCTGATCAAGAAGTGAGGTCTTCTTCAGACAAATGGAAAAAAACTCCCATTCCCAGGCCCAGTATCTGCTGGAGGGATAACACAGCAGGGTCCAAGCAATCAAGGAAGCTTTTGGAGTTCATTGATGACAATTTCCTGACATAGGTGATCAGAGAGCTGATGAGGAAAGGTGCTTTGCTGCATCTCATATTTATAGAGAAAGAAGAACTGGTTGGGGATGTGAAGGCTGGAGACAGTCTTAGCTGCAGTGATCACGARGGGATGGATTCTGTGAGGAGCGGGCAAGGAGCAAGCAGGCTCACAATTCTGGAATTTGGGAAAGAAAAATTTTACCAGTTCAGGGACCTGTGCGGAAGAACCCTCCAGGACAGAGCCCTGGGCAGAAGGCTGGTTCAGGACAGTTGGTTGACTTTCAAGARGACCTCTTCTGAGCTCAGAACTGGTCCATGCCAAAGCACAGGGAGTCAATCAGGAGTGGCAGGAGACCTGCCTAGGTGAACTTGGTCAGGAACTGCCCAGAGTTCCTGACTCAACTCAAATATAAAAAGGAAGTGAGTAAGAGGTGGAAGCAGGAGCAGGTGACCCAGGAAGAACACAGAGAGCTGCAGTCCAAGAGTGCAGGTTCAGTGCTAGAAAAAGCAAAACTCTCGGAGTTGAATCRGGGGAGGAGATTCTGTGCTCCAAAAAGGGCTTCTACAAGTACATCAGCTACAGAAGAAAGACTAGAGAAAACGTGGCCTGCTGCTAAATGAGGCAGGGCACTGGTGACAAAGAACACAGAAAAAGTCAAGGTACCTGGGGCCTTCTTTGCCCTGGTCTTTACATGTTGGGTTTGCCTTAGGAATCCCAGGCCTYTGAGACCCATGGGAAGTCTGAAACAAGAAACACTTCTCCTGGGTGAAAAGGAACATTAGGGAACAGATAAACCACCTGGACACCTACAAGTCTGTGTGTCCTGCAGGGATGCACCTACTGAAGGTGCTGAAGGGGCTGAAGGAGCAGGCGGTCACTGCAGAGCCACTCGCACCGAGTGGCTCATTCTAGTCTCATTACTGTATTTCCCAGAAAGAGAGAAATAAGGATTTACTGGAGCAAGTTCAGTGAAAAGCCACAAAGATGATTAAGGGATGGCAACATCTGTCGCACGAGGAGAGGCTGAGAGAGCTGAGGCTGCTCAAGCTGGAAAAGAAAAGGCTCAGGAATCTAATCAATGTGCATGAACATTTCATGGGAGGATGTAAAACAGACAGAGCCGTCAAATCCTGGCATAAGTTGTCCTTGAGACATTCAAATCCTGCCTAGACGTGGCCTTGAGAAACCTGTGTAGATCATCTAGTCCAATGCCCCTGCTCAGAACAGCCTGCTGTTCTGAGGCAGCAGCCTGCTCTGAGCAGGGGGACTGGACTAGATGATCTACACAGGTCCCTTCCAGCGTCATTAAAAGTTGGTGAAAACAAACTGCAGGCCTGTTGATTTGATTCTTGGACACAGAATATTAAATCAATTAACAGAATAGTTTTAAGGCCCTGTAGAATACAGCATGCATTCTCACTTGGCTTATTAAATAATTAAGCATAATAAYAAWTAAGCATAATAACAAATAAGGAAATAATTAAGCACAAGAAGATGCATATCCTGCATATTTATTGTAGTAATAACGGAATGAGCATTAAGGAAAGGTGGCTAATCCTGAACTGCTTCTGGAATAAGTCTGGTGTAGCTGACAGGGGAAGTCACACTTAAGTCCATCACTTAAGTCCACCTCTCAGGTGTGAGTAGAGCTAACAAATAACACCCAGTGCAGCACTGCAGAGTGGCCGAGAGCCATCACAGAAGGAGGAAACCACCCAGAAATGACAGAGATAGTAAAATTATGATGGTAAGTTTTAGAGCAGCAGCCCTGTTTCAGRAAATCAGAACCTTCTGAGCATTTACAGAAGTGATTCAAGCTTACGTGAAACGCTCTTCTAACCCTTTTTCAAGGTCTCTAGACAGCTTTTAGGTTGAATACTCAAAGAGTGTTTACTCAGCTGGAATGTACTTCCTTTGCAACTCAAGTTGCACAAAAAGATTAGCATATGTCAAGCAGAAAGAATTCACAGAAATGCTGTAATTTGAAAGAGAAAATACCCATCATTTATGGGCTAACCTGTCTAAAAAAGTAACCTTGTTGCCAAAAATAAGATTTAAATATAAAATGAGATCATTTTCAAATGTCTATTTTAATGGAAACGGATGTGATTAAGAGAAAAAAAGGAAAAAAAAAAAAGAATTAAAAAACCCCAGAAGTCTTTAGCGCTGAAAACTCTTGCACCAGCTTTTATTACTAAGCTAATAAAAACCATGTCAAGTCATTAGGAGACTAAAAGAGACCTTTAAAGCTGCGACAGTAATAATAAAATAATCCTTATGACTCATCCAATTAGTTACCAATCAATTTGTCATTCATATGAGCCACAGAGGCAGTTCTCAAGATCTCTTTACCATTTCCTTCTTCTGCCTTTAACCGTTGGGGAAGCGAGAGCTCGCCCAGGCACCCAGAGCTCTTGCTAAACACATTACTGCTCAGAAGGGGCCAAGGCTGCAGGTAGGTGCTACCTTGGCACGGGGGCATCTAAGTGGATGTCTAAGTGTACACTGGTCTCAGGAATTAATGACAGTAAAGCCTAACWCTCAATCTGACAAACAACTCAATATAAAACCTTGTATACAGGTTGGTTATCACAGAACAACCTACTAAGAAGTATTCCATAAGACACATTTTTTTTTAAGTCACTTGCTGCTTTATAAGCTTAAGAAATCTTACACCTACTTTGCCCTACTCTGCAAAGGGATACAACTGCTCTTAGCACTACTGCCTACTAAAGGCCTGCTAGGCTTAACAAGAAGTGAGCACTAGACAGGCAGTGGGAAGGAGAGCTCTGACAGCTGCCAACACAGGGTGACTGCCATAATTAGAGTGACTGCCATAATTAACCTACGGCTGCTTCAGCAGTGAGTACAAATCACCACACTCCTCCTGGCCTCYAGCCCGACTGCAAAGATCTGCATCGTGCCTGGCTGAGGAAGCAGCTTGCAACATATAGCAGCCTGCACACAGCTATAGGTAACCATACAGAACACCTGTGCTTGATTTGGACAAGGCAGTTCTGCTTCTGTAGAAACATATCAGCAAAAGTTTCGGGGTCACATACCTCATTGCCACATTGCTGCCATCAATAACTATTGGCCTCAGGTTGTCACCGTCCTCTGCCACATCCTCCTGCAGTGGAGACTCTGACCTCTGAGACTCTATGGAAGACGCTTCACGCATTACACTAGTGTTAGCATTACTTACAGGCTGGTCAGTCTCAGTTTTATTTCCAAGTTTGACAAGTTCTCCCAAAATATCGTTTATTAAAGCATCGGTACCAAGTTTATTTAGCACAAGTTGAACCTGTTCTTCTGAGTAACCCAGCTTAAGTGCAAACTCCAGTTTGGTTTGATATTCTTTCACCACATCAGGGGGCTTTTTGACTTCCTTAGGTACTATCTGAGCCTCTTCTATCCTCAAGTCTTGCAAAATTTCATTTCTTTTTAATATATGAGGCTCTAAGCAAGGAGATCGGCATAGCTGTCGGTGAGTCGTAGGCAGTAAGTGCGATTCTGATGCAATATTAATCAGTCTCTCCGACTCATTATCAGAATTTGTGCTTTCTTCAGAGTCACAGCTGGAGCTTCCAGATGTTTCTTCGGATGCCTCCTTGTCTGTATCTTCCTTCCTAGAATTAACCTTATCCATCGTTGGCTTCTCCACCACTGACCAAGGTGCAATTGCATTTATTTGTGTGCCAGTGCTCCCCACATAAAGATGGCCTAGATCATGCCCCAGATGATCCTTCAAGCCCATGAAGCTGCTGCATGTACTTGACTCCACTTTGCCGTTCTTCTTGTATTCCTGAATATAAAGTGTTCCGTATTCCTAAAGAGAGAATAAAAATGGTGTAGCTGATTATGCATCTTACTTGGGGTTTTCTTGCTCTCTCCTCAAATAATTCAAAATTTTCACTTCCAAGGAAAAGTGCTGTCTGTCTAGCATAYAGATTTGTTCTCTCTCAGGAGAAAATACATTTTTTTTCTTTTTTTAAGACATGGAAAACTTTTTTGGGGAAAAAGTTTTTCATAGAAACATATACAGCTAAGGTAATGAACAAAGGTTTTTTTTTCTGATTATGGTAAGTGTTCTTACTTAAACATTTTCAGAAATAAAATTGGTTTATAAAAGAATGGGAAACTAAACACTACAAATTTGTTTACTGTAACTCAGAAACAAAACCCCTGTTCGGATTTAAAGTAATTGAAATATTCCATTCAACTTATGGTAATACTGTAGCAATCAAAAAAAAAMCCCAGACACCCTAAAAACTAATGCAGCCACAAAACAAGAGCACTACAAAGTTTTTTTTTTTTAGAGCAAATAGCTCAAGTTTTCTGCTGTACAGAAACTAATCCAACAGTAGATTACCTGGCTTGTTAAGTAAACAGTGTCATAATACAGAAAAAGAATTTGAGACAGAAAAAAAGAAAACAAAAAAGCTTAAAATGCATTATCAATTTAACTGAATGAATTCAAGCCATTTCTTGATTCTCGTATAAAGTGATAGTTGAGACAGACTACCAGCTCTCAGAGTGCAGCATCACTAACACACACTAGATTTCGAGACTAGAACTAATATAAAGTCTAGTACAGCCAGTGGAATTCTTTCAACGAATTCAATAAGCCATTAATCCTGTCAATAAAACAATAAAACTAAAAATTTATTTCAACTACTGCACTACATTTGTGTGAGCCTCTTGCTAGGTGAAAATATAAAGCAATCTTAAGTGAAAGAAGTCATCTAGGAAAAAAAGGAGAAAAGTTGCATTTTTGGGGACCTCAACATCAGCCACATCAGTTTTGCTGCATGAATTTCGCATTAGAACAACTGTAGAGAAAACCATTGCCCACTTTGTCACAAAATTTACCTCTACAGTCTATGTTTAAAGGCAACKTACTGTATCTTTCCCTTATTCTTTTAGGTGGCCAAACACTTGACTGCTTCAATTAAAAAAAAATATAATTATTTCTCATAGATGAAAATGGACTATATCAAACAATACAACTGCAAAGAAAAACTTCATTAAGGAACACTACAAAACACAAAACTCTCTTTTGTTTTACAAGGCAAAAACGAAATACATGCAAAGAGCTTTGCTCAAGTTTGACAAATACTGTACATATGTGGTTATACATATAGATAGRAAAAGACTGTATCAAGCAGAATTTCTTGTTCTAAAACTATGTAAGTTATAGATGTGTTCAACCAAAAGCCAAGATCTTTCTCTGTTAGCAAGGATATTAACTCACACCCTCACAAGTCAGCACCATTAAGAGTGCCCAAGCACTGGCAAAACACAGTCTACTCTCCTCTGCCTGGGATAAAAGACTGGCAGAGCTTCCTTGGAGAAATGAATCCAGGCTTGTGATTCAGTACAACCAGGTCCTATGGACACTGAAGGTTAAAAGCATTGCCAGGGTGGTGGGGCACATTGGTAAATCAAGGTGTTGCACTAGATAAACTCACCATCTTTTGCAATGCAGTTACCAGCTTTTTCTCCTCTCCAGCCCCTTAATCCAGCTGAGGCTACTTTTAAAGTTTTTGTTAGCTCTGACCTTGCTAGAAGAGAGCAAAGCTCCACGTAAGTCTCTCAAGTAGCACGTCAAGGACCGTAACTTTCCCTGAACGCGAAGCCTGAGGATTTTGAGGCCTGCAGATTAAATACAGTGAGGTTTTCGGAAGYGAGCCTTTTCTCACGGTGATTTATTAACTAGCATAATACACTCGATGGAGCCGGGCTACTAAAAAATCCTAACAATAGCCCAGTCAACGGATACAGTTAAAAAACCAACACTGTGGCCTTCWCAGAAGTGACACACACAGAAAAAAGGGGGGAAAGAGGGAAAGGAGGGGGAAGGCAAACAAGGAATCGCGGCGGGCGGGCGGCGGGGCTGCCTAGCAACAGGCCGCAGTTGCCAGGCTGCGCTCCCCACCTCCCCGCACGGATCCTGGCAGGGCAGAGCGGGGAACAAGCGGCCGAACAAAAGCGCGGGGAAGAGCCGGGCCCGGAGCGCGTCCGGGTGCCCCGCGACGGGCGCAGCTGCCGGCGGCGCTGCCGGAGCCGCGCGGCCGCCGGGGTGACGCCGCGCCGCCTGGGCCCGGCCAAGGCCATGGGGGCCCTCAGCGCAACCAGGAGCGGAGGAAGAGGCTTTCCGGGCTTCTGGAGGGGGGACTCCGTTTGTTTTAGATAAGAGGAGATGAGTTTGGGCATTAATAGCACAAAACGAACAAATCTCAAAGTACACAGATCGGAAGTTTTTCTTTTACTGTTCATTAAAACAATGACTGAAGTCAATGAGTGGCTTAAGCCATTCTCCAACTGGCTCCTTACTGAAGTTCTGCAAACGCCTTACAACAGCTAGTCACAATATCCTCCTTTGCAACTACCAAAAACAAAAAGTCTATACCCCAAAATAAGACGCTACACGAAACCCTTCAGATGACCTATACATCAGTTACACATGGAACAGGCCATTAGCACCATACTGGTCCCCCGTGGGGAATGTACATGTAGTGAGGGTTGCTTTTAGTCTCTCATGAGCCTCCAGCTTGCTCCACTACCATTGCTTCCTTTGCCTGATAAACTCTACTTTTTTCCAGAACCAACATAGAGAAGACACTAATAAGRGCAGCAGCTTTCAAATCAGTCAGGGACAGTATATAATCACCATGCGATTGCTTTAAAAGGGTAATTAAAAGCGAYGTGCTCCCGCAAACCCAAAGCTAAAGATTTCTGAAGCGGTTTTGCATAAGCAGTGCCCCATTCCCGGAATTTGGCCTACACCCTGCATGCAAACTGTATTTATTTTCAGGCAAGTTTTTACAACATCTGTGAACTTTGCACACCATATTTGTGGTCAGCAACATCTCTTAGAAATGCTAGACTTTGGAGATCCCCACGTGTCCTTTACGAGATTCATTAACTAGAACCATGAAAATCAGACGTCGCTGCAGAACATTGTTGGAGCGTGTCACGTTATCATGAGCTGGTCAGTGAGGAGTGATTTGCCATCTAGCCTGTCTGAATGAGTTTATATTCCAAATAAATACTAGCACACCTCTACATGGGACAAGRAAGAGTGGAAAAGGTCACATTTATTCATGGAGTAACATCCAATATGAAGAGCTCGTTACATCTTTCACTTACAAGGAGCTCCCTATGCACATACTGTTTACAGTATGTTTCCTGATACAATGCAACACAGATAAGACAAATACCTGCTACAAGTTCTGACTCAAACAAGAGACACAAAAAAAAAAGTCAAAAAATTATTGCCAGGAAAAACCTTCAGCTTTTTTGGTTACACTCACAGTTGAGTAAAATTTTCTTATTTATGAAAAAAAAAATAAAGCAGGTAAGTCCCAATTCTCACATCCCTATGGCATCATCAACTTCTTAGAAGTTAAACTATAACCTCAGACTAGACTCACTATCAGAGGCCTAAAATACTCTATTATTGACTCATAGACATTTATCAAGTATAAATATAACACTGTGCATGAACACTGTGCCACTACACTGCAAAACCATATTCCTTTTCCATTTCTTAATTCACCCCCATGTTCCACTAACCATTAGCAGTAATCAGCTCATTAATTCACTTCACACAAAACACTTCTAATKCTAGAAGGAACGCGGGCAAATAGGTCATCTAATCTTTTAATGTATATTCTGCATATTTGCCACTTCTTACCGAACTTAAGAACAGTGGTTTAATACAAACTCAGTACRTGAARGAAAATATAAGAAGGAGTGAAAGARAGCATCTTATCACAAAGCGTAACAGCAACTGTGTAATCTCAAAAGAGCTTCAAAGTTTCTGAAGATTCATTCTACAGTGAAATAGTTCATCTTGCTTTCACACAGGAAGATTTATTTTAGTCTTCTAAATAGTAAATGGGAAATATTTAGATCACAGCTTGTTGAAAGGTGTAATTACTTGTCACAAAGAAGTGCAGAGCTGATCAGAAAGAAAAAAAATGTATTAGTTATCCAAATGGTAAAGATACTGCAACAATGCAAATAAAATAATGAATATGTAATAAATACCTACTGCTGTAGTTTCTATGTATTTAATTACCATTGTATTTCAGCGAGTGCTGTTGTCTGCAGCATTCTAGCTAACAAAGGAAGGATGTCCCATTGAACAGATTGGTTAATGCTCTGGGGCAACAGATGTCTACTGGAACTGCAGGAGACCAGCAACTGGTGGCCTGCCCATCTTCTGAAAACTTTCAATAGACTCATGCATATGTTCACACAATAGGGCATGTGGTAGAAATGCAAACCTCTTTTTAACCCTTTTATATGCCCTCTTTCCTTCCCTACTGATATATGAAGGTTTGGAGGCTTTTTTTTTCCTTTGACTCTTTTACAAGATCCTTGCAACAGGCTCACGGAGTGTTTGTTCTTCAGTCTAACATCTGAATTTGAAACATAAAACAAAACAGATTAGAAACTTTATAAAAATAACCTGGCTCGATTTGACACATTTAAGAAGAGGACAAAGCCTCTGGCTGTAAAATGCTCCCACCTGAGAGCAGCTTAATGCTGCATCTTATGCTGTAGTAACTTCATATATCCCACAATGGAGCCCTTTCTATTTTCACAAACAGAAGAAGTTTCACTCATTGCATGGTACAATGGAAAAGTTTAAAAAAAAAAAAAAAAGTTTTTTTTTTTTTACCTTAATCTCATTAAAGTGATAGTATATTTGGAGAAAAGGGTAAACATCTATCTCTGAAAGTTGAAACCTCCCCTTTCCCCCAAGGGACTGAGGGAAAATCTGTTCTGTTGGCTTATACTGCCTGCCGTTTTCAAATT